AGTAAGAGATAATCTATTAGTTTTCTTGTGACTCTATATCACTTGTTCTTTTTGTTTAGAACAAAAAACAAATGGAATCAATCGTGATGGCACGAATATCTAATGGGATATTGTATAGACATCAAACTGTTTTTTGTTTTCACTTTCTTTCTTTTGTAAATATATTGTATTGTATATTCACTGTTTTTTTTCTTTTCACACTTGTATTGTATTGGAAAAAAAAATTCTATCATAGATTTTCTTCTCATTTCAGATATCTAACTTTACTCAATTGAAATCGAAGATTACTACAAAAGTTTTAATAAAACTCTCCACAAACAACCATGGAAAACAAATACAATCAAAGTCAACAAACTCACAATGGTCAACATAAGAAAAAGAGCAGACGTCAACTTCGTATAAAAAAGAAAAAGGTCTCCAGCAAATTCGGTTTTCATGTAGCAAATATGGAAACCAATGTATACATTCAACATGACTTAACATCTGAAGGTTTATCGAACAAAAACAAATCCTATGCTACAGATATGGAAACCAGTTCTGATCCAACCTATTTATTACCGGATTATTCAAAATTGTCAGATAGTCAATTTACACAAACATTATTAACATCAACATCAACTATTATAAATCAAGATAATCTTATTGAAGTATTGAATCAGAAAGACATATTCATATTTATTCGTCAACTTACACAATTACTCAATCGGTTATATTATTCTAAATTACAACATGAACAATGGTCATACTATTATAATCTTGGCATGACCGAAGGTATTTGGAATGGTCGAGTATCTAAAAAAATGGCTGATGCAAATTCAATGTGTTATACTTATGGTCGATCCAAACATTTAATTAAACAACGTCTTGATAAACATAAACTACAATATGAAAAAGCTCAACAGACTCTTGATGAGCATATGAAAAATACACCCTCCAATATCGGTATGGACAATATTATTAATATGATCCATAATTCAATCGAAAAAGATCAATATCAATTACGACTTGAACTTGAAAGACGAAAAACAATGCTTCGACTCGATGCTGAAGAACATCGACTCATTGAAACCTTTTATGAACTAAAGCCAAGACAAACGGAAGTAAGCGCAATGATATTTTTTTCAATTCACAAAAAAAAAACCTTCCAATTCTAGATAAAATCAGCAAAGATTATATGGAAAGCTATACATGAACAGCAAAACATAATCGATGAAATTGCTATATTTAAGAAATGGCTTGAAGTTCACGCACAAGCATCATCATATACATTTCAAGATGTTCAATTACCAAAAATAAACCATATGTTCATATCATTATCTTTTCAAGGTCCAACATCATCTGCCGAACATGTCGCTGAACAAACCATAGCTAAAGCCGAACAAACGGTACAATACTACAACAAAATAATCAATAATGAAAAAAATAACTTACAATGTACAAGATCTCATCATAAAAATGTTTACCTACTCGATCAAATCATCAATATAATCAGCCAACGTGAACATAATATGAAACAACGTCGTGATTATGAACTACTAGGAAAAGTCGCAAACATATTCAACCAAACTACTCTTACACACGCGGGTATACAAGTCAATATGCAAAGTAACTCAACACCATAAAAATCCCGTCGTATACATAGTAGAATACTCTACCCTATATAAACCTGTACATATATCGTATATATTAAGAAATAAAATATATTAAATTGTGTCTTTTTTTTCTTAAATAATGAGAAGTGTAACTCTGAATAAAATAGATTTGTTTTTGTGTTAGACGAAACGGTCTCCTGTAACATATAGAATCTCATTGTCTTTTTCTTTTTCGTTTCAGATTTATTATCTATATTTTTGATATTAAAGTAAAGAATATATACCTTCATTTATCTCCAATGGCTTACCAAGCCAATGACACAACTGAAACAACTGGCATCTCATCAGTCTCATCGGATGACGAATTAGAAAGAGACTACTTTTCTTGGTTACCTGAAGTGGAATGTAAGGACAATAGTATCAACGAAAATGATTGGTCTTCGTCTGATGATAGTGATAATGATAGTGATGACAAAGAAATAACTTACCATCATAAAGAAACATCAAGTGACAAGAATATTAAGTGGAGTGACGGCTCTTATCTCACTCATGATGGACGTTTACAATCTATGACTCGATTTGAACGTCGACAAGCATGTTATTACCAAGAAAAAATTCAACAAATTCGACAACAATTAAAAGATGAACATCTTATTTTACGACCAATTTATAAACATATTGGATATCATGCAGAGTCAATCGATACTTTTTATAACAAAGTCAATCAATTCTTGAACCGTACAAGCAGCTATTCATTAGTTTTTAAACTCAGTCATTCATATCCGACGGCTAGTCAAAATCATTTAGCTAAGATTATTGCACGAGTTGAAACAACATTGAACAACTTATTCGAATCTAAATCTATTACTGAAGCACAATATATGGCTATGAAAATCAATCGATCTACAGTACGAATGAATTATTTATACTTCGTATCAGACACACATAAAGTATGTATATCTTTCTTATTAATTTTTATTCTATAGTTTATCTTGACTCAATATTATATATAGGAAGGAATTCCAGTTCAACCAATTATGGTATGTAATGCTGGACCAACTATGGGTATTAGTCGTTATCTTGGTCGTCTTCTTGGATTATTTTTTAATGATGCAACTCATTGTAAAAAATTACACAAAGCTTATAATGTTATACATCACATGGAATTCTATCAGAAAAGTGGTCAACTTCGACCAACCACTCTATTTGTTTCATTTAATATTAATGATTTATGTTTAAATTTTTCACATCAACAAGTTATGGATGCATTAGAACATTTCCTCCACTCTTACATCTCATCAGATCATTCTATTCAAGGCATGACAATTGCTACAATTCTTCAACTTGTTGGTCTCGTACTCGATGAACAATACTTTATTTACAGTTACAAATTATATCGACAAACTGCTGGTAGTGCATCTGGTTCATCATTAACTATTCCATTAGTCTATATCTATTTATTTTATTGGCAACCAGATTTATTAGAAGATCTTATTAATAAGAATGAACTCTTTTTCAGGTATGTATCCTATTTTTTAATTATAAAATCATATTCTATTTCTCTTCGCCAATCTAGATATCGAGATGAAGCATTTATTACATGGAACAGATCTGAAGATGAACTTCGTACATTACTTGCTACGGCTAATTCACAATTTACGCAACCTATATGGAACATAACTAATATTGGATCAACTATTCATTTTCGTGATATTCTAATAACTAACAATAATGGCCTTCTTCGAACAAGTGTTTATCATGAGGAAACATTCGACGACAATATGTTACAATCATCATTTCCGGATATTCTTCAACCTGCAATCAAACAAGACACATGGAAATGGCTACGAGGATCTTTTTTAAAAGCCATCCGATACTGTTCCGATCACGTTACTTTTCATGAAGAATGGTATCAAATGAAGTGGCAACTTAATCAACACCAACTATCTGACATTATCTTCAATGAAGCCCATCAAGAAATTATACATGATTTTGGCGCAACGGTTGTCTACCGACCATACACTAGATCTAATTATGAAATCCTCCGTGACCATGTTTCCAACTATGACAAATATCGAAAAGCAAAGAAAAAAGAAAAACAAAGACAACAGAACGAAGACACCGAACTACAATTCCAACTTCCTTATATACCAAATTTAGATGGCACTACAATGGAGAAAATCGAACAACAATTCAATACAGACATCAATCAATATTTAAAAGACCAAAGAACAACACAAAATATTTCTTTGACAGTTAGGCAAAACCAATCCTGCTTCGACAAAGCCATTGACTATCTAGTGAAGAAACAGCCACCAATAAGTTATTTGACATTGCCCGAGGAACCCAAAACATATACAAAGTAGGCATTCAACCAATAACCAACTCCTTATTAAACATGTTGTTTTCTATTCTATAGACCATGCATAGACGCAAACCCTCTTCAAGAACTGATCAAACACATGCTACCACAGAAACGCCATTCCTAACTATTTAATTCTAAATTGTTATTTCCAAATATTAAATAAAAGTCCACTACTGCCTAACAAACAAATTTGAAATAAAAAAATATTTCGTCTATAACCTTTCAGATTAAAAACGAAACTAAAACCAAAATGAAATGATCGTGACACAATGAAAACAACTAAACCAAACCATGCTTCTTCCCTTCGCATAAAACAAAACGATACCAAAACCAACATTATCCATCCAACCTATGCTGCCTGAAAAAAAAACAATATGCACAACATCCACCCTAAACAAACTCAAATCATCATGCATTATCCATGTATCAAAAAACAAATCGTAAGGCAAAAATACCACAAACAAAACCATCAACTAACACTTCATAAAATACAGTCACTAAAAAACAATATCTGACATGAGACCAACCACAACGAAAAGCACCGCGACAAAATAGAGCTCAGAAAGGCGTTCGAAATAATCACCACAACACAGAGGCATCGCAACTGTTTACATACCCATTTTTATTTGGACGTCTATCCATTATTCTCCTGAGTAGATCTTTTCAGGTATCATGTTATGATTTGTATATCTATATAGATCATTCAAAACTGGTACTGAGGCCACTTGATAAGAATTTAAGTTAGGAAACATTCGAAATAATCTTTGCAATAGGTTATCGTGGTAACTCTATACACACCCACTATTATTGTAGGTGAATCTATCCCTTTAGAATGGGTAGATCTTTTCAGGTATCATGTTATGATTTGTATATCTATATAGATCATTCGAAACTGGTACTGAGGCCACTTGATAAGAATTTAAGTTAGGAAACATTCGAAATAATCTTTGCAATAGGTTATCGTGGTAACTCTATACACACCCCACACCCACACCCACACCCTTAAATATTATCTGATATAATATAGAAATTCATTACAAATTATAAAAAAAAA